CATAAGAGGGGAAATACCAAAGAGTCCATTATGACCCACAAAAAGAAGAAAAGGATAGAATTAAATAACATAAGGTGGGACCACGCTCACCAAATTAATTGGAATCTTATCAATTAGAAAACCAAAACAAACAATTTCTTACAAATTTTAACTCGTAAAAATGACTGAGTTGGTAAAATATATGATATTGTGTGATTTGCGAGTTATCCAGGGTGATTTTAAGAGGAGGTGAAGTTGTAAGTTTATACGATCCCGCTCAATAAAAGATTACACTCTATATATAAGATACTTGAATCCTCTAAATACAAAATTAAAGACTGACTTAATAGTTAAGGAATTTAAAAATTCATCGATGTTTATCTACTATAAGTTCAAATATTAGTGGTTGCGGGTTAAAAGATCCTTACAATAGAAAAAATAAGATATTATTACTTAAAGTTTATTGAATTAAGTAATTTAAATTTCCACCAATATGAATGTGGGGTGAAATAATTAATATGTTTCTACTTTTAATCAAAGATGCCTAATTAAATTAACTAATTTAAATTTCTGATAATAGCTGCCAATTTATTTATTTTTTAATATTTGAAGAAGCAGATGACTCGTCAAAGGAGATAAATATTAGGTACGTCACCATTATTTTATATCATGCCACGTTTATAATTTACAGCTGACTCAACACTTTTTTTTTTATAATGTTCGAATCAATTTACGTACATCTCGATTAATTTTTATATTTTACAAACTGTTTTCTATATTTTATGTATGATAAAATTTTATTTACTAAGTCATAAATAGCTTTTAAAAATTCGAATATGAAATATCTGTTTAAGCATAAATCTCTAAATTCGTGATCAAATGGATTAGGATAAACACAAATTAGAAAAGAGTATAATCTTTTTTTATTAAGGTGTGATAAGTAAATATAATTATATTTACATGACAGAGTATTTTTACATTATTAATAATTAATATGATCATAACAACTCATTCTGAATTTACTTACTCTAAATCATAAATTTGATTAGATTTGAATAATTATATAATGAGTTGTATTTAAGTAAAAACAAAACAATGAATTTAATAGGCACGTGGTAGCTGAATTGACCTTTATGTACCTTTTTCTATTTTTCATTTTTGTGTATTTAATTTTGTCTTTCATATAAATTTAAAGAACTATCAATTTTTGAGTTTTATTTTTATTTATAACATTGAGTTTATCGATGACACATTTTAAAAGAGCATGGATATACTCACATTTTGATATTAAACAAAAAATATGTAATAAACTATTTTTAATATATGTCTTTCTCCATAAATGTTCATCATAATTCTGGTGTTTGACTTTCATCTTTGACACATGATTAATCTGAATTCTTATAGAAAAATGTAGCTTCACTCTAAAGAAACAAATTTAAAATCTTTGATTAAAAATAAATAAATATTTAGCACATATGAAATTTATTTGCACGTAATAGTTATAATAAACTATACTGATTTATCAAAATCAAATTATAAATTAATTATTATAATTTATATCATATATTATTGGATTTAATATTAATATCCTATATCATTTAAAAAAAAAAAAACTATTTTTGATGGTCAATATAAAACCAATGAGGTCATGGTCTACCCCATCCAACCCATAAAAGTTTTTGTGGCATATAATTATGGACTTTAGAATATTCTCTTCTTTTGTTTTATCTATTTTTGAGAATATAAAATTTAGTGCCTTGGCCATAGATAATTTCCATTATCTCAAAATTTTATTTCATAAAATTAGTAAAAAAAAAATCCAAAATTTTAATCTGTAGTTGAATCGAAAAACTCCAAAAAGTTATTTCACAAATTATTATTTTAAATCACTCGTAAAAAATAACAAGAACATTTTTCTAGATGATAAGCATCTCTCATCTTTAACCTGAAGATTGTAGATTTGAATCACTCGTAGAGAAAAGGTAAAATATAGAAAATCGTCGCTCAATGAAAATTTAGAGAGAAATTTTAATTTGTATTTATATCCAAATACAAATTTTTAAATATTATCCAACTTGAAAATAAGTACTATTTTATTTTTAAAAAAATTATATTTTTTATGTCCAAACGTCCATTTTAAAATAAGGCAAAATAGGACAGGTGGAGCTAGCCATACCAATAATGAAAGAAAAAAAAGAAACTATGGGATTTGGTCCATTTGGAAAGCATAAAAGAATACTTTACGTGAAGGTCTCAATCACAATTCATTGAAAAAGCATAAAAATAAAAAACAATTATTTAAAATATTTCCGCTCAAGATATGAATTCACGTAAAAGAAAATCATATATCAAACATAAAGCTAGGGTGTGTAAAAATCGAATTGATCGATAAATTAAATCGATAAAAATGTTATCGATTTATTGTTATTGGGTTACTGAGTTAACGGATTTTTAATGATTTTATAAAAAAAAATTTATTGGATTATCGGTTGGGTATTGGTTTTTAATATTGAGTTATTTGGTAAATCGATAACCCATTAAGACTAGTAATTTACTACTTTTACTTGTACATAAATATTATATATTAATCTCAATACCTTAGTAGTTACTATCTTTGTCCTTTTAGCCTTCAATTCACACTTAACAATGACTTTGAGTTCACATTTTCACATTATAAAAAATGTTAAAATCTAAAGTAAGAATCCTATTCCTCTTAATTTCTCTTTGTGTTACTCTTGTATAGTTCTTTTCATGTTTGGCATTATTGTTTCTATTTTATGAGCATTTGTAAAGTTACATTATTGTGTTTTCGCATTAAATTAATTTAAAAAGTCATATATTTATTTCATAAGTATTTTCTTATTGGTTAAACCGAAACCGAACCGTTAAGAACCAAAACCGATAAACCGAAAACCGATAAAAAATATCTTATTGGTTTGGTTATTTGTTTAACATATTTAAAAACCGAAAACCGATAAATTGAACTGATAATACATAAAATCGAACCGAACCGATCGATGCACACCCCTACATAAAGCGTGTTTTTTGAAGAAAAAAAATTCATATATAGAATTCAAACTCAAGACTTCTAATTAAGGATAAAGAAATATTTAACACCCTATTATAATCATTGTCAGTGAAATTAAAAAAACTCTGAATCTAGTTGTACCATTTATTTTCTATTTTTAATTTAATGTAAACTTAAATTTATTTACAAAATTTTCAAATCATCAAAAATACCAATCCATTTAACTATTTAAAAATTATACTTTCATAATATTCTATTTCTTCATTGTACGAATAAGTTAATTTATATTATAAGTTTTGTATTTTTAATTAAATAAGATCATATATAAATAAAATAAATGAAAAACATGTAATCCTATATTTTAAAAAAGTTTTCAATTATATAGAATTATATCCACCCACAAGACTAGAAGCTACTAAAATAAATGAGTGGACAAAAGTGGCTATTAGTTCCATAGCTTACTTGCCCCTCTCTCCTTACTATTTCCTTTAAAATAATATTTAAAAAGTGGACCAATCGTTATCGAAATTTACTAGCTTGATTAATCTGAATTTGCATTAACAAAATTCTAATGGGGTAAAGTTCTTGTCTTGGAACATCGAATTACTATTACTAATAAAAAGACTTGAGCTTCTATTTGACCATAAAATTTAACAATGAAATTTGAAATCTCGATTTGTATTGAGTGAAAATATCCGACCAGTTTTTGAAAAGTTGAAAATATTTGAGAATCAACAAAGTTTAATTAAGTTTCATGATCAAACAAATATTTAAAGATAAACTTTTAAAAATTCATGATCAAACGTTAACTAAAGATTCCATTATTTTCTTTCATTATGATGAATTGAATTTTAAGTCAAACTTAATATAATTACACCACTAAAATTGCATCACGTGTAAAGAGTCTAAATAAAATAATTTATAAACGAATAATTGAACCCAAAGACTTTTTAAGAAAAGACTCTAAGTTAATTTGAGGAGAAGAAATAATAAAAAGGGAAAAAATCACTCACCTACCCACCAAAAACACTCACTTTCTTCTATGGTTTGCTCTAAAAAAAAATAGTTGCCTATGGTGTCCGAGTCGTCTTTCATGCACCTCAACTAATTTCACAAAAAAAGTAACTACTTATCAACACACAGATACCGAATAACTATGTTCATTAAGGCTTACACAAATGGTAAGTAGTTGTTGATATAGAATAGTAGCACATTTTCCTCTTTAAAGAAAAAAGTCAACTCGATGAACAAAGCATCCAACGTTAACGGAGTTCGAAAAAAGACCGCCGCATGACAACCTAACATTTTCCTCTTTGATAGGCAAAAATGGAAAAGAGAAATGTGGTGCTTTTCTAAAGCAAAACCATAGAAAAGCCATTCATCCAAGTTTTCTACCAAAATCTTCCATCATTGATTTTAACATAAACATTTCAAATAGCAACAACCATACCTCAATCCCAATCATGTTGGGATCGGCTTTATAAAAGGACAGTCTGATGCACAAAGCATCTCACGCTAGCATAGTCCATGAAAGGCCGCACTCCAAGGAGTGTGATGTAAACAATCTACCATAATGCAAAAGCATTAGTGGGATCGACCTTATGAATACTCATTATCCATGTCGTCCCATTTGAACACATCTCAATCAAATATAACGAAAAAGATTATCTAGCACGAGACGTTCTCAACATTTTCTTCTGGCATATAAATCTCTAACAAGAACAAAATGATACTCCATAGATATTGTTACATTAAACAAATTTGATCAGAAATTATAAGACTAAAAAGATAAGATTAAGATCTATATTCCAATGGCAATTATTGAATGTTTTGAACTTCAACTTATGTTTGTAAATCATCCTCAATCAACTCTCTGTCTGGGTGCTGAACATCTATTTTTTCCTGCAACAAGAACCATAGTGTTGCTGCATCTCTATTCAAATTCATCTAATCAATCGATATATTAACACACTCGAATTAAGAAAACAACCAACCTGTGTTTAAGCAGCTCGAGCTCGAGTTCATGCTCCTCACCAACTTACGCTTCATATTTTCCAATGCTCCTCTAACCTTTACTAAAATGAAAAACAATACTGAGCTGATCAGAAAACCAGCCTATTCGAGACATTGTTATGCATTTATCTGAGCAAACACTTTCTTAAATATGGAGAACCAAAAACATGGCGAAGGATTTCTACCTTATGCAAATAAACGAGCTCTAATGCAAGGGTGGAGGTAGACCTCAAGTTACGGATTCGGAGAACCCAGTAACTTTGACTCAAACGTTGTATATATGTATTAGGAAATCCACTAAATATGTACACAAATTAAATTTCGAACTCAAGTACTAGAACGGGGGTCACTATCCTACAATTCAAAACCCATACATTTCAAATCCTAGATCCGCCTCTAGTCGAATGTAATGTTCACATGACGTTCTGTCTAAGCAGAGCATTGGAGTATCCAGAAAACTAATCACATAGAAGAGCATATACAAAAAGAGAAAAACAGAGTTTCAGTTGGAAATAAATGCTATAAAAATGATATTTTAATATTTCTATATCAGGTATTCCGCTGTAATCATTTTCTTTTTGTCTACTTTCGATATTTCTGTAGGTTTGTTTTTTTGGTGTTCAAACTCATATCCTTTAAATGTAAAGTTGTTACCGATGAAAAATATCATAGCAAGAGAAAGGTGGTACCTAATGACATTCAGTTGAGTGTCATTTTCTTTTTCCAGAGGTTTAGTAGCACAGTAACTCCGTCTTGCAGAGTAGCTTTCTCACCAGCTTCATAATTCCACAACTTCGAAATGATGTATCCTCCACTTGGGTTATATACATTAATCTCACTCAAAGCGGTTGTTACAGCTTTATACACATCCTCACCGTAAGTTCTCTTCAAGTCTTTCAGTTTTTCATCTTCATCGTCTATTACAGCCTGAAACAGCATCAACGGTATTTTAATATATAAACCGTTTGGTATAGAAAAAACTGGTGAGAAGTAGATCAAGTAAGAAATTGAAGTGTGTTTTATTTCCTTTTTTATTCAGACAGTAATAAATGCATACCGTATACATTCTTGAATATTAATATTCTAACCTATAAAGATGCATGATACATATATATACATTAGATATAGGGGGCCATTGTTACTCTTTTTGTCTCAATTTATGTGGCACGGGAGAAATTTCTAGAGTTAACTACCTAGTTATACTTATTTCTCCCCCCAACAACTTCACTCAGGAGGAATTGCATATTCTTAACTGAGAAGATCAGACTCTTATAATTGAATTTTCATTGCTTACACGGATTCTATAAATAGGGAGAAGGGTCAAAAATACCACTAAACTTTCGTTGAATAGTTAGGTTTACCCTCCATTATACTATACGGCTAATCATAAACTCGCCATCTGCAAACATGTCACCGAACCCCTACTTGGGCGGAAACCCCAAATCAGCCCAAATTAACATGAATTTCTTTAAAAACAACCCATTTCCGACCTTCTATCTATCTTAACCCAAACAAATTTAACCCATTTCCAAAAGAACTTCCAAAGACTTCAATCGTCACTTGAGAACTTCCAAAGGATCTGGTCTATGTTGATGGACATTTGAGCCCTTTTTTTCCCTCTGAATCTCTTCTAGACGCTGTAAAGGTACCAAATTTATCTAAGCTTCTTCAATTATGAGTCCTTCTATATGAGTTAGTATTTCTGGGATTCAGCCAGCTTCAGGTCAAGATTGGGACGGGATAATTATCACTGCAGCAGATTTGCAAGCACTTCAACCCTTTAAGCAAGAATTGGTTGATCCAAAAGGGTTCTTGTGAAGCTGGAATGACAGTGGATCTTGAGCTTGTTCTGGTGGTTGGCTTGGTATTAAATGTGCTCAAGGACAAGTCATTGTAATCCAGCTTCAACGGAGGGGTCTAGGTGGAAGCATTACCGAAAGAATTGGACAATTTTTATCTCAGAAAACTCAGCCTACATGACAATGTTATTGGTGGTTCATTTCCTTCTACTTTGGGACTCATACCAATCTTAGAGGACTTCAACTCTTCAACAATAGGTCCTCTAGTTCTTATCCCTGCTTCTCTTCGTTTATGCCCTCTTCTACAAACACCTGATCTCAGCAATAACTCATTCTCTGGTACAATTCCAGCTAGTGAATTCAACTAAGCTTTATAGGCTTAATCTTTTGGAAATGAGTAAAATTTGTTTGGGTTAAGATAGATAGAGGGTCGGCCATGGGTTTCAATTTGGGAATAGATCGTTTTTAAGAAATTCGGGTTAATTTGGGCTGATTTGGGGGTTTCCGTCCAAGTAGGGGTACGGGCAGGGGCGGATCTACATGGAGTTCAGGAGGTTCACCAAAACCCCCTGAATCGAAAAAATTATACTGGGTATTTAGGATCAAATATGTATTTTATGTCTATATATTTAATATTGACCCCCCTCAACACAAGTAAGGGGCTTGATTCAGCGGCTATGGGGGTTCAGAAACTAGTAGACGCGCGGGTTCGAAACTGGCTAGAAACATTTTTCAATGTTTTAACTTGAAGTCTGGTACAGTTTATTTGTCAGCACTATTTAGCATGTTTTTTTTTAACCCCCTCAACGGAAATCCTGGCTCCGCCATTGGTACGGGTAATAAGTTTGCAGACGGCGGCGGGGGTATGAATAGCCGCATAGTATAATGTACGGTAAACCTAACTATTAAACGAAAGTTGAGGGGTATTTTATACCCTTCTTCCTTTGTTTTTATTATGTTCTTTGTGACGACCCGAAACCTCGTCATTTTCCTTTCAAATCCCACGTATCCTCAATCTCTTTCTCGATGGGGAAAATAGCTAAATGTTTAAGAAGAAAGTGATGTTTCTCTATATATTTAGTACTCTTATCTGTTTGATTTATTTATCTTATTTTCCTTTTTTAGTCCGTCTCTTTTTTTATGGAAACTCTTTACTTCTAGTTTTCTACACGGTATGTTAAAACAACCAACTTTTTTGAATTTGTTTTTTGTAACGGACCTTATTTGTCTTTAACAAAAAGCAAAAAGAATTCCACAATTGCTTCTGTGAATTTCCTGTGTGCTTGTAGCATCTTATTAATAGTAGTAATACATGATTACTTTAGAATTTAGATCAACTAGTATGAGATGCATGATAAAATTAGAAAGTTCTGCGGCCAAACTGTTTAGAATGTTAAAAGAGAATTCATAGAAATTTGAATGTAAATTACACCAAATCTCCCTACAAATGACTGATTAACATTTTTACATCAATATAATCCATCCATAGTCAACATCTAATCACAGGGTTGCGACAAATTGAAATGCATAATTTGACGTCCAACAATATCCAATAGTAGCCTATATGTTAATGCCACAGATGAAACAAAAGAACTAAAATCAAGTTCCAAACAGATTGCAATAGGAACAAGAGAAGACACACAGAACGCTATATTTATGAGATGTCCACTACACTGGTCATATATCGAATAGATTCTCACAAAATGATCAGACTCCCAAAGTACACATCACAACATATCCATGGTAGAAACTAAACAAATGGAAGCCAAAGTATTTTTCTTCTTATTAGTAAAAATGAGTTTAAACAGACTCGATGTCATGAACCAGAATAAAAAAGGCATACCTTATGTTTCCCATTTACGGCAACAACTTTAATGGGATGCCACTCAGGGTCTCTAAGGTACTCCTCCCACAACGAGCACAACTCAGAAGCTATCTGCTCAGCTTCTACCTCATTATATCTCCTCTTCACTGCTTCAAAGAACGGTCTGCTGTCGAGCTCTCCCATCCTCTTAACACCAATAGGACCTTTTCTAGGTAATTCCTTCAAGCCCTATAGAGAAATTTAATTGTCAATTCCTCAAATTTTCTTCAGTAAATGCTGAAGCCAGCCAAACTCCTCAACCCACCAAAAAGAGATTTTGATCCAGAAAAGGGAAAGCTAAATTTCAGTATACTACCCTGTCAAATATTTTTTAAGTAATTCTTTAACCATTTTGGGCTAGTGTATAATGTGCATGTATCTTTCAAGTAGACGGAATGAGCTCATAATGAAGGACATGAGTTGTTATACTACTCCCCCACCTAAACCCTCAAAAACACGCTACAATACATCATTAATAGTCTTTGTATTTTTTATTGAATCATGCTATTCACAGTTTCAATCAGATACATTCCTCAATATCATGTGCCCCCAAGGCCTAGCTTGAGTGGCAAAAGGTGGAGGATTTGCGGCTTAGGTCGCAGGTTCAAGCCCCATACCACGCAAAGCGAAGCCCGATATTTAAGTGGAGAAGGGTAGAGGGGCGGGCCCATTATCCACCGAGTTTAAAAGGCTGTGATTGGTCCAAAGGGCAGGTCACAGATAGATTTCTCGGTTATCAAAAAAAAACATTCCTCAATATCATGTAAAACAACAAGCCATAGTAGGCCTCCTTACATACATTAACCAATTCTTTAAGTGCTTCCTGCAGCTCATCATTGCTCTTTCGCTCCTTCACAATCAAGGTTTGGTTCAATGACACTAAATCTTCATATTTTTCTTCCTTTTCTCTTAAACTTTTAAGCAGTGTGTCAACGTTTTCCAGAACTTCCTGATCACCTTCCTCTTCAATGTGCTTAATAATCACTCGCAATCGCTCAACTTCTGTTTCACTTGCTTGTTTTGCATTGAGTTGTTTCTCAAGCCTAATAATTCTCTTATGGAGTTCCTCCTTTTGTTTCTGCAGACAGCAAAACGGCAACTTAGCGATATGTTAACATAAGCATTAAGATAATGTCAATAACAAGCAAAAGAGAAACCTGAAAGACAGACCTTCAGTTCTTCTGCAAATTTCAGTACTTTTTCGTCAACATTCTTTTGCTCTTCAACCGCAGCACTAAGGGATGTTTTTAGGATGGCATTCTGGAGTAACATCAAGAAGACTTCATGATAACTATCTTCAGTTCAAATAAAGATCGGCACATAAGAGTCCTCGGTTCTTTAGGTGACGCTTCAAATTATTCCATAAAGGTGCTTCTTTAAAAACTATTTTTTTTTTCAATTAACATGCAAATAAAACAAAGAACAGCATATACATATCAAACAGTTCCTGCCTATTACTCTTTTAAGTACGAGGAAGTGGAAAGAAGAAAATAAAGAAAAAGAGTGGAGAGAAATGGATGCCATGAACCAGAATAAGTATTTTAAATTTGAATGTTAAGTAATTGCTATAACCATGCATGCATTACTTCTTACTCGGAGTTGTGAACACTAACTAGAATATTTTAAGAAAGTTTCAACTAGCACATCCACCCACATATACGAACATTAAACCATCACCTAACTTTTCAGCCTTCGTGAAAAATTAATCCTTTAGTTTTTGCAAATGATAAATCAAACCAAAATTGAATTCAGCAGAGAAACAATTAAACAAGTATACCTGTTCATGTTCTTCAGATAGTTTTTTCCTATCAATTTCATTTTGGGCTTCACGTTTCTGCAGTTCTTCATGTCGGAGATCAAGCTCCTTTTTTTGAGTTTCCATTTGCAACTTCAACTTTTCATGATTAATAAATGTCTGCTGGAAATGATCACGCGCACTTGACTGGATCTTTTTTATTTCTAATCATACAAACAAGTATGTTAGGGCATCCAATATACAGTGTCCAAAGTTTCTAATAGCACGCACATGCAATCACTAACCTTCATTGTTTGCTTGACGAAGTTTAGCATTCACCACAATCAACTGTTCGACAGACTGGATAGTCTCCCGTAATTTGTCCTCCAACACCTTTATGTGCAACTTCTTGACTTCAATGGCATTGGTTAAACTAGAAACAAGTATACAATTCTTGCGAGATTCTTCTTCCATGATACTAGAAACAGTTCTAAGGTCTCCAACTTTGCGGAGCTTTTCACCAACAACATTAGTGGCCTGATAATCATCAGCTCGAGCTATCCAAGCATACAAATCAGATTTTTTGTCATTATTGGCTTCCCAATTCTTCTTCCCATGATCATCGGCCTCATAGGCCTTCTCAAATGATATGGCATTACTGAACCCAAACCAATCTTTCTTGAATTCAACAAGAGCAATTCCAGAATGGCCTAGGTCATTCCAAAGAGTGCGCACTCGTGTTGGATTGAAACCTTTCCTTATCAACCGATCCTTCAGATTAGAACCACTTTCTCCTACATAGCGACCATCCTTAAATTCAGTGGGAAGGTTCACAACAACCCCAATCCACGGCCACACAAACATCTCCGAAAGATCCTGATCTGCAAGAGAATCAACCTGAGGATTACCCAGAGTATCAGGCTTTGATGGACTAGCAGCACCTGCTACATCGTTTCCGAAATACTTGGCAAAAGTAATATCTTTTGCAGTTCGCTTATTGGAGCTACAGCTTCCTGCTTCACTGACATGCAGCATGAGATCCTTATACAAACAATCTTGCTTTCTTTTCTTTGGACAATAGGCAAAAGTATAAGCCCCATTTGGTATGCTGAAAGAGTTATTTCCACTCTTCAACTCTTCATAAGATATTGATTTACCAGGACCACCTGCAACATCACTTGACAAGTACTTGGCCAATGCAAGATGATTGGCCTTATCTCTTGCAGTTCGCTTCTTAGAGTTACAGCTTCCTACTCCACCAGCATGCTGCAAGAGATCCTTATATGAAAAATCTTTGTTTCTAGTATCTGGACAATAAGGGCAAGCAAAAGCCACATCTGAATTGTTAAAGGAGTGATTACCATTCTTCAATCTTTCATAAGGCATTGATGTATTGGCAGCACTCGATACATCATCTTCCAAGTATTTGGCAAAATTTTGCAAGTGCTTGGACAAGGAAAGATGGTTAGCCTTATCCGTTGCAGTTCGTTTCTTAGAGTCACAGCTTCCTACTCCAAGTGCATGCTGCCAGAGATCATTGTACGAAAAATCTCTGTTTCTCGTCTCTGGACAATAGGCACAAGCATAAGTTCTATCTGACATATTAAAAGAGTGTTTTCCACTTGCTGACTCTTCATAAGATTTTGATGCACCAACAGCACCTGCTACATCACTTTCCAAGTACTTGGCATATGCAAGATGGTTGCCTTTATCCCTTGCAGTTTGCTTCTTAGAGTTACTACTTCCTACTCCACTTGCCTGCTGCAACAGATCCTTGTATGAAGAATCTCCGTTTCTCGTCTCTGGATAGGCATAGACAGAAGTCATATCTGATATGTTTAAAGAGTTATTTCCACTCTTCAACCCTTCATAAGATTTTAATTTACCGGCTGCTACATCATTTTCCAAGGACTTGGCTAATGCAAGATGCTTGGCCCTATCACTTGCAGTTCGCGTTATAGAGTTACAGGTTCCTACACTATTTACATGCTGAAAGAGATCTATGTACGAAAAATGTCTGTTTCTTGTTTCTGGGCAGTAGGGGCAAGCAAAAGCCATATTTGATATCTTAAGAGAACCACTCCTCCACTCTTCATAAGATTTTGATGAACTGGCAGAACCTGCTACATCATTTTCCAAGTGCTTGACTAATGCAAGATGGTTCGCCTTATCTCTTGCAGTTCGCTTGAAAGAGTTGGAGCTTCCTATTCCATTTGCATGCTGCAAGAGATCCTTATAAGAAAATTTTCTCTCTCTTGTCTCCGGACAATAGGGACAAGCAAAAGTCCTATTTGATATCTTAGGTTGATTTCTACTAATCGACTCTTCATAAGATTTTGCTGAACTGGTAGAACCTGCTACATCATTTTCCAAGCATTTGAATAATGCAAGATGGTTCGCCTTATCTCTTGCAGTTCGCTTCATAGAGTTGCCTTGTTTCTGGGCAGTAGGGGCAAGCAAAAGCCATATTTGATATCTTAAGAGAACCACTCCTCCACTCTTCATAAGATTTTGATGAACTGGCAGAACCTGCTACATCATTTTCCAAGTGCTTGACTAATGCAAGATGGTTCGCCTTATCTCTTGCAGTTCGCTTGAAAGAGTTGGAGCTTCCTATTCCATTTGCATGCTGCAAGAGATCCTTATAGGAAAAATCTCTTTTTGTTGTCTCCGGACAATAGGGGCAAGCAAAAGCTACATCTGATATCCTAAAAGAGTGACTTCCACTCTTCAACTCTTTACTAGAGTTTGATGGACCAACTGCACCTGCTACGTCGCTTTCCAAGTACTTGGCCAATGCAAGATGCTTGGCCCTATCTCTTGCAGTTCGTATCGTAGACTTTCCTATTCCACTTGCATGCTGCAAGAGATCTTCATAGAAAAGGTGACGCCCTCTTTTCTCTGGACAATAGGGACAAGTGTAAGCCACATCTGATATCTTAAAAGATTGATTTCCACACTTCAGCTCTACATAAGATTTTTCTTTATAGTCGTCAATCTCCCATTCAGTTATATCAGCATTTTCTCCAGAACAATGCTCCATTAAAGATCCTTCTTGATATATTTGAACTCATGGAACCTAGAGATCAAAAGGCATAGTTCATCAATTGTCAGTCGAAACCGGCATCGTTGACAATATACCAAATTAGTAATAAGAGATTTTTGAATTAAATGTGAATTCAATCCAAAAGGCAACAGTCTGACTGAGATTAACCCCAATATATACATGTATACATAGAGAGAGAAGACATAACCATTAATGAGCATTGACAAAACAAAGCATTAATAGTGCTTTTCTTGTTTAGTTACCTAGTGACCATCTTAACCAGTGATAGAACTCAACAAATATCATCCAAAATTGTGGAGATGAATATGTCGATCCACACGTTGTCGATTTTCCGGTGGATTTTCTTATCCTCCCATGGCATGAAGAGGAGGTTCTTAATTACAAAGGGAGGTCAAATTGTGAAGATGTTTCAAGATGGGTGCAGATGAATATGTTACAAATGTGTAAACAACTTCCAAAAGAAATAACTTGCTGGTCTATTATTACGAATTGAAAGAAATAGGGTCTGCAAAATGGAGTCAAGTTCCAAAAGCCCTTCAATGAAGAATAAGAGTCTGAGGGAATTGAAGAATCTGGTCGAATTCAATGTTAGCTTTGGTGGGGTAACAGGTCCATGGAGAGAGGAAAAAAGTCAATGAAAGAAAAGATATGAAGCTTAAAGTTATCTGTTGGAACGTTAGGGAGTTAAATGAAAAGAAGAAACAAAGATTACTTAGGCTGATGGTTAGAGAATGGGACACATACAATACCTGTTTTGTGGAAACAAAACTGAAGTCTGCTGACTGCTCCTTTTTGAGGCAGACATGGGGTAGAAGGTGGATAGAATGTATAGAGATAGAAGCTCCAGGCAATCGTGGGGGCATCCTGTTGTTTAGGATAAAAGGAGATGGAAATGCAATGATAAGCTAATGGTTTTGCATTCTGACACTGGCTTCCTGGAAGAATTGAATACAGGTTTTATGTTGATGTTTACAGGAGTTTATGGGCCATGTGATAGTAAAAAGAGGAGGGAGCTTTGGCATAAATTGGGTGCTATAAGAGGATTGGAAGCATTGCCATGGGTTTGGGGAGGGATTGATTTCAATGTCACGAGGTTCAGTGATAAAAGAAGTGGAAGAGATAACAACACCAAATCTATGTTCTTGAACCTTGTTAGTAATGTGGGTTATGCCCGGAGATGTTAAAGAGTTTACTACAGAGTTGAAAGGGTCAATGGGTTGATAAGAGACTGAAGATTCTATGGAAGAGAATCCCTCTCCGTATTTCGTGGATGTTTTGAGGGAAAGATAGAGAAAATTCCTTTTTCTTAAAAGAAATGTTTACAAAATAGGACCAAGACAATTTGCAAACGGATATTTGTTACAAGGTGTTTTTGTTTCCCAGTTAAACCATCTTTCCCCCAAATAATATAAACTTTGGTTACTCCAAAACGTTGAAAATTCCTCTAGGTAATGCTATGAATGGAAGTGAATTAAACTAAATGTTCAGTGACAACACTCAAATAAAACTAGCTAAATTGCGCAATAGCCTCATAATACCACACACCACAACTCAATCCCAAACAAGTTAGGGTCGACTACATGAATCCTCATTATCCATATCACTCCATTTTCAATCCATCCCAATACCCCAATGAAACACGACGAAGCAACAATTATCCATCTTTCCTTATCTTGTTGAGTACCCAATAAACCAAATAACATAACCACCAACACCAATGTTCAGTGACAAGACTAAGATAAGACTAGCTAAATTGCGCAATAGCCACATAATACCACAGACCACACCTCAATCTCAAACAAGTTAGAATCGACTATACGAATCCTCATAATCCATATCACTCCATTTTCAACCCGTCCTAATCCAATATTCAAAAAGTTAGATTCTTTAAAACTAGAACTTCTCCACATTTTCCACTAGCACATAAATCAAGACTAGAACATGAAAAATCATTTATTTCACCGTATTTCCTCAATTTACTGAACCCAGACGAAACCCGATGAAGCAACTATTATCCATCTTTACCATCTTATTGAGCACCCAATAAACCAAATAACATAACCCCAACCAATGTTCAGTGACAATACTCAAATAAGACTAGCTAAATTAGCAATAGCCGCATAACCCACACACCATACCTCAATCCCAAACAAGTTATAATCAACTATACAAATCCTCATTATCCATATCACTCCATATCACTCCATTTCAACCCCTCCCAATCCAACATTCAAACAATTAGATTCTTTACCATTAAAACTTCTCTACATTCTCTATTAGCACATAAACCAAGACCAGAACATGAATTTTTTTCAATCCATTTTCCCGTCCTTTCTCAGCTAATTGAGCACCCAATTAGCCAAATAACATAACCCACAACACCAATCAAACTATAAAACACTCAATTGAACACCTCAATCCCACACACCACACTTGAATCCCAAACAAGTTAGAATCAACTATACGAATCCTCATTATCCATATCACTCCATTTTCAACCATTCCCAATCCAACATTCAAACAGTTAGATTCTTTACCACTAAAACTTCTCTACATTTTCTACTAGCACCACATAAACCAAGACTAGAACATGAAATATTTTTTTAATCCATTTTCCTGTTTTTCTCTGCTAATTGAGCACCAAATAAACCAAATAACATAACCCACAACACCAATTAAACTATAAAAAACTCAATTGAACAGATACACCAGTAATTCTCAGCTAAAAACATGAAAACAAGCAGAGATGGAAAAAAACCTTGTTGTTCATCGAATTGATCGAAATTTTTCCCAGTAAACTTCAATGAGCAAAAACACTAAAGGGTACAGATTTTCTTGAAATCCAGTAAACACAATTGGAATTAAAGGGGAAATTGAATTGGGTTTTTGATGAACAAGAGAGCTATGCAGTAGAACACATACATGTTGGTACAACTATATTTGCTGTCTAGTGGTTTCCGCCTATGTGTTCGGAATCAAAATTCGATTAAATTTAAATTTACGAGGTTTATTTTTAAGGGCGATAATTTTTTTAAAAAAAGTTAATAGCCAATGAAAAAGTTAAATAATGTAGTTTCATTATACAATAAAATTAAAAGATCAAAATCAATAAAGATAAAAAAAAAAAAAAATTAAATGGACATTTATAATATGTATTTGATATTTATATTAGAAATTATATTAATACGGTAGTAATTTCATCTCTATTTTACATTAAATTGATATACTATATTGTGATTAATAATAAATAAAATAAAAATATATGATAATTATATATTCTTCATTATCGCTCCTCTCTTTGTAATCTTCATCTTTAAAGTTTGTAAATCACATCCAAATCTCCTCTTCTTCAATAACTCTGTAATTTGGACGAATTATTTTATTTTAAGCATTGGACTCAAAATTTAGACAATCTGCATAACAAAAAAAGAAAAAAAAATTATGCATTAAAGTACAAAATTAGAATCAATTTATTTTATGTTAAAAATAAATAAATAATATATATGAAAAATAAGAGATGTTACATCTCAATGCGCATCAAACAAAAGATCAAATAATATATGTTTAGCTACTTACTACGTGAAATATCATGATACACATTTTTTCTTTCTCTTCCAACGGGAGAGAGGAAAGTAAAAAATTCAATTTAATTAATTAAAAAATTAAAAAGAAATTCAAGAGAAAAATTCACATGAATCGAACAAATAATTTTTGTATTGAGTAAAGAATGATATGCTTAGTTACTATTTCTTTGATTTTTTTCAAAATTATAACTAATAATATTTTTTTTAAATGATATTAACGATGTTCCTGATATCATATGTTTAAAAAAACTTGTTGATAATACTAAAAGATCTATCACAAACTTATTTGTGAACATTTTTTCCACTCAGGTATATAACATATATTTGATGTATTGCAGATCTCTAATAACAAAAAAAAAATAGATAATTACTATGTGATTTATCAAGTGATTATATTATATAAAAATTCTAATAAAAACACATGAATAAAATTTAAAAAATACTTTTCTTTTTGTTAGAGATCTGCAAAAAAATCAAGATAATTATATACTTGTGTGCCAAAAATGTTCACAGTCAAATTTGGCAATAAGCCTTCTAATGTTGTCAACAATTTTTTCTAAACAAATAATGCAATCAAAAACATCATTAATCACTTAAAAAAAACATTATTAGCCATAGCCTTGAAAAAGAAAAAAAAAAACACTTTGAGAAATTTGATTAAAAAGAATGAGGTGAAGAAAGAGGCTGATTTTAATAGTATTTATAGGAAAAATTTAATTACTGATTAATTAACTTTCTAAGATTGTAATCTTGTAAAGGATTACATTACTATATGAATTATGGCAATGTTTAAATGGCAACATGGAATGTAAATAAATATATGATCTATATTATTTATGGTTTGTTGTTTATTTTTAAAAAAGGAAAACAAATTTGATTTACTTACTAAAATTGCACTTTTGTGTTAGATTCTCTTACTATAATAATAAATTGTTTTGGTGTTCAAATAGTAAGATAATACAAAAATAAAAAATTAATATGTGCTCTTTATGACTAGTTTTCCCAGTGATTAAAAATTTAAATTGTGTGACAATATTTTTAAAAACTTTAGAGAAAATTATCAAATATAGTGACTTGAAACTAGAATTTCCCAAAATGAGGTTCTTAATTATCACTATTCCTCCATTTTAATTTTCTTATTTTATTTTACAAAGGACACTTACTAGAAAAAAAATTCAAAGGAAATGTCTTCTTTTAAGATTTTAGTTACATTTTAAAAGGCACATATTTATATTGAGAATTATTTTATTATAAATACTTTATTTTTCTTAAAGATGTTCTCTTGTTTAATATAAATATGTTATGAATAGTTGAAAATTGCAAGTTCTTTAGAAATTTCCACATTGAATAAAATTCATTTATTTATTAAATAGTGTTGTTTGTTTTCATCAATATACTTAGACCTTATTTGTTTGCCACTAATAATGTCAAATATGAATGGTTGAAATCTCAATTTCACTGAATATATTTATTTTATAAAGATCAAATTATTTAATATATTTTGATTTGACCAAATCCTTCTGTCTTTGAATTTGAAATTTTAAAGAAAGTTTATTTTGTGTGAAATTCGAATATTCAAATTTGGTGTGGTGGATACTCGAAGGTTATGACAACGAAAAGCTTTGACGCCATCAATGTTAAAGACATTTCAAAGCTTTTTTTAATTATGTCTTTTTGTAATTTGGAAATAAAATAAAATAACATTCATTTAAATATTAAAAATCAAACAATCTTAATCATTATAGTATGAGTTGAGGAATAACAACTTAATCATTCAGATTCATACATTTTAATATTAATAAAAATAAAAAAAGCATGGATATCAAGTTGTGTATCTTTAATTCAAATATTATACTTATATTGAAAGACCAACTAAGTAAGTATAAATAATAACTATAGTTCAAGATTAATTTTGAAATTAGATCTCTATTGTGTTTAATTAACCGTATAAACTTATCTCAAGACATTTCAAGATGAACAAATTTATATTATCTTTGAAGTAAACTTATCCCGATAACTAAACATAGAATAACTTTAATTTTAATTAACTATATAAACTTATCTCGAGACATTTCAAGATTCTATTACTATGAATTATGTTAATGTTCAAATGATACCATTGAATTTAAATACAAATTTGATATGATTAATTTTCTACTTTTAAAAAGGTAAAAACAAATAATTTTAAAATTAATTGACATACTAAAATTGTACTTTTTGTGTTAGATTTTCTTACTATGATATTAATTTTCTATTTTTAAAAAGGTAAAGAAATAATTTTAAAGTTAATAGACATACTAAAATGTACCTTTTGTGTTAGATTTACTCACTATAATATTAATTTTCTATTTTTAAAAAAGGTAAAGAAATAATTTTAAAATTAATATACATACTAAAATTGGTACTTTTTCTGTTAGATTTTCTTACTATGGTTATTGTTTGTGTTGATTTGGCAGGTCAACATTAGTCAACTAGGATAAAATAGGATATTTCAATATTAAGTTTGAAATTAGACTTATATTATTATATTTAATTGATACTGTATTTTTATTTTAAAATATTTCAAATTTAAGTTTGGTATATGATTGTTGGTAAATTTTTTACATGAGTGTGTTTGGTATGGAGGAAAATATTTTTGAATTTTCTATTTTTGTATATTTGATTTTCTAGGAAATAAATTTCTTGAAAATGAGAAAATTAATTAATTTTTAATAATGAAAGTAGGGAAAATAAATTTTATAAGTAATATTCTATGTTTATTATATCCTCTCACCTACATGACGTACTCAACTCCTACACTTTAACCATACCACACCCTCGCACCCTATAGTTTTTATATAAATATTTTCGGAATGCGTTTTTCTTTTAGCAAATTTACTACTAGAGAGGGTGTAAATGACGTAATTAACGAAACTTTTGGAATATGACATAATTAACGTCCAAATTATTGGGGTTTCTAGATTTTATACTTATGATTTTAAAATAATATTTTTAAACTTTATTATCATACGTTAGAAAATTAGTAAGACATCAATTTATTGTAAAAATATCAAACTTTATTATCAAATGTTTAATCTCCACACCATGCAAAGCGAAACCCGATATTTAAGTGGAGAAGATTAGAGAGGCGGGCTACACCGAATTTAGAAGGCTGTGATTGGTCCAAAGGGCGGCGGATCACAAACGGATTTTTGGGTTATAAAAAAAAATAAAAAAAATTCTCTTTACCAAACACACCTAATCAATTTTCACATTTCCCGCCATTAACAAACTAGGGCTTAGCAAATTCAGCTTCAGTATCCAAAGCCCCAAATTTTACCAGCAAAGCAAAAATTTAACATCAATGGCGAGCCAATCTGATAATTCTGTAGCATTTTCAGCAGCCGAGGTTTGTTTACTTCTTAATCTTCTCTGAAATTTACTTAAAAATGAATTTGTCATTTGATTTTATGCTGATGTATGGTTTTTAATTGTTGTTCATGCATCTAGATTCAACATATAAGCAGTTTGATGTATTTCTCCAACTTCAACTATTTATGTAAAATTTGGGGTAGAGGGAGTGGAAATGGGGGAGGGGAAAGTTTCGGTAGCTAACCAATTGAGCTATTAAGATTTTCCGTAGGTATGTGTGATATATATACACACATAATATTCATGGACTTGTTTAAAATCCTAGATCCGCATTTATTTCAAGTGAAAATTAAGTTCGAAATTTTCATTTGATTTTGTGTGTGTTTGGTAGGAAGAAAAATGTTTTCCATGTAAAGTGTACTAATGGAAAATAAGTGGATTTTTTCTTACTTATTTTTTGATGTTTGATAAGTAAGCAGGAAATATTAATCCAAATGCATTTTATGTAATCTATTCAAATATGATAAGGGTGGGACGGAGGGTAGGAGTGTGGGGGTGGTGTGGATGGGAATATTGGGGGTGGAGGTTGGGGTGTGTTAGAGGGTGTGGAGGAGACAATTGGTGTGGTATGTCAATTATGGAGCTTGTTTTTCCTACTTCCATTAAAGAATTCATTTTTCTCATTTTTAAGGAATTTGTTTTCGTAGAGAATATTTTCCAAAATTTTTGACCAATCAAATGCGTGAATACACCCTTTGTGCTGTTTATGTTCTTAATGATCTTGGATCGGTGATTTTTAACTTCATTGTTTCTCAATTATGCAGTTGGAGTTTCTAGCGGAAGATGAAATGGTTGAAATTGTGCCAAACATGAGAATGGAACCTCTCAATCTTATATCTGTATTATTTTACCCCTACAGTGACTAAATTCATTCATATAATCTCGCTGGTATTTATGCTGATTTTTGTTGAAAATGTACCAATTGACAGGGGGATTTTGGACCTTTCCGTCCACAAATAGCGGCACAGGTGCCTCTCTGGCTAGCTGTGGCTTTGAAGAAAAGAGGGAAATGCACTATCAGACCACCTGAATGGATGTCCGTCGGTAAGCTTTTGATTGTTAGGAAAATTTGCTAATCTGTTCTTCCAAATCCAGTGACTAGTTGATTTAAGTTTTGATTCAGATTTGTTTGTTGTATTTTCTCTGTTATGGAGAAACAGTTAGTGATGCTATTCTACTAATTTGGAGTTAGTTGCTGGAGTTCCTTAGAGTTGTTGCTAGCTCAATTTGTATGTCTGCATAAGGATGTGTGAAATCTAGAGATCCCTTAAAATAAAGTGTTCAGTATTGAATGGAGACGGGCCAAAATAGAGCGGAATGATAAAGAGGATTTATGTAGCCATCCCCAACTAGTGGGGGATTGAGTCTAATACATACCTTCTTGTGGTTTGGATATTTAATTTATTTTTAGTTTGGTAAGGAGATTGTAGTAATGCTATTATACTGGTACAAAGATTGTCATGGTCTAAGTCTTTAACATCTTGTTTTCTTAGAAAGCAAGTTGCTGTATTAGCCTCAGTTAGAGGCATAAAATACTGACTTCTTGTTGGCGAAACTGTTTGGTACTTTGGTTTTCCCCATCATGCTGTTATATCAGCCATTTCAAATACCAGATTAATGTCTGATACTATTATATCCCTTGGTTAAATCTTCCTCAATGGCACCTCTAACTGAAAATATAAAATCCCATTCCTTTAATAACTTTGTTGGATTACTGGATAATTGTCAAGAGCATGCCTTCCTTTACAAAATGAATAATATTTATCCAAGACAGCAGGTCAAGTTCAACCTGTCAGCTTGTAACTGTTCCACAATCTCTCATAATTAGTGGACATTCCAGCTTTAAACTTATTGGTTGACAATAGAATGTGTTGTTTCACCAATTCCAAGAAAAAAAAATACTGCATCAATGAAATTTGACATAAGATATCCTATAAGTATTCTGGGAAATTTTCCGGTAAAGTAGCTGGCTCCTATAACCAAGAGTTTTGTGTCTTCTCTCATTTCTTGTTTGTCTAGACATAGCACACAAGTTACTTCAACCAAGATAAGCCCGCTTTATGTTGTATTGGACAACCAGATGGTTGATTAATTATTTTTTGTTAATCTGAGATTACTAATTTCACTCACTCATCAAGCTTTGTCCAGAAATGTTAAGGTTGCCTGTTGCAGATCATTTCTATTCCAATAGAAATTTTATATTCACTGCTGTCATATAATCATGTAGATTGTACTTGTTAGGTTTCTTACTAATCTCTGCTTTGTCGACTAGAAAAGTTAACCCAAGTTCTGGAGGCTGAAAGAGACTCTGAAAAGTTCCAATTGTTACCATTTCATTATGTTGAAATCTCAAGGCTTCTTTTTGATCAGTAAGTAGTTTTTTTTTCAATTTTTTTTTTATATCAAGATTTATCATGTTGGTCTACTGATGACAATATTCTATGATTTAGTGCCCGCGAGGATATTCCTGACATCTATATGGTGAGCTCAGTTATTTTCTCAGTTCTATTCGCTTTAAATATTTAGTAATTCAGCCAGAACTCTGATTCAAACATGCTCAATAGGTGAGGTCTCTTATTGAAGATATTAAGGATGTGCGGTTTCACAAAATTGGAACTGGCTTGGAGATAATTTCAAAGGAGGTCACATATGCGTTGAGGGTATGCTTATTCACTTATCAGAAAATGCTTTTCTCATTCTGATGCATGTGTCGTTTTGATGATCAATATCTTAGTCATGTAAGGAATCTGTCGGGGTGTTAGTAAGAAAAGAAGGCATATACTGATTTAGTTACATCGGTGCTTATATCTTAAAATATGGTGCACAATTACCATCCATTCTATTGGAGTTACTCAATACTGCAAATTCAGCTGACAGTCCCGTGGATGATCGGGTGAATTAATTTACAAAATCAATTCCGTTTGATCTAATAGATGTAGTTTATCGTACAATTGAATAACTAATTAAGCCTGATTTGTGCATTATAAAATTTCTCCCCTGCATATCTAGAGCTATGTAGCAGTGGAGAAAAGAGATAAGATTAGGAATGAAGATATTGGGGACAAGGAGGGAGTGGCCTCTGTTGTTTACTGTGCTTCAGTTAACACATTATTTGGCTATTGTTACTGTTCCTTTGTTTTGTAAATGCTGTATAATGCTTTCCTTATTATTAGCCATGTCCTCTTTACATGTGTATTTTTTTTTTCAAACTGCTTTGATGTGTTACTTGAGCCAAGGGTCTCTCGGAAACAACCTCTCAACCTCCACGATGTTGGGATAAGGTCTGTGTAGACTCTACCCTCCCCAAACCTCACCTATGGAATTACACTGGGTCTGTTGTTGTAAAATGCTAACTTCTTGTCCTGTGATAACTTTGTGCCAGATTGAGAATGGCCAAAGGAAATAGAAATCAGACTGATGATTGTAAAGACGTTCCATGCTTAAGGTGTAGAAACAACTGTAGCATCTGCCATAGCTTCCTATAAGATAATGGAGTGAACCTTTTCGAGAGAGTGGAGAGGCAAATACATACTGTAATTCTTCCTTTTCTTTTCTGAGGCGGGGAGTGGGTTTAGGGGATTTTTCTTTAGTGAAATTGTGTTTTGCTATTTTGAGGAAGAAATATGGACTCTTGTAAGATCTAATATATTAACCTAAAACTTCTCAGCTTAAAAATCTCTCAGCAATGGAAGCAAATATAGTACGCCCATTTGTTACCAAAGCTTTGCAGACATTTCATAAGCTAAATACTACGGAAGCAATACCAGAATCAGGCAGCATTCCAAACAGACAGCGCCAAGCTGTGAATCAGCGCGACAAGGTAAGTTCTTAAAACTTTTTCTTCCTTTCTCTAATAAGCATGATATTTCTCTGTACCTTTTCTCATGATTGAGAATTGGATAACTAGTACCTCTTAACTATGTTATCTCCCTTATCTGACCATTCACACTTGTAATACGAAATTATTGAGTTTTATCATTTTGCTAGCAACAACATTTGTCGCATTATTTCGTTGTCATTACTGTCCTATCCTCTGTGTGTTATGTACCACTCTTCATTTCACATTATTCCGTTGTTGTTACTGCTCTACCTTTTTTCAAACTTTTTGAAAATGTGTTAGTTTAAGCTGAGGGTCTATTAGAAACAACCTCCATTATCTCTACGAGATAGGGGTAAGGTTTGCATACACTCTACCTTCCTCAGACAACACTTGTAGGATTACGTTGAGTATGTTGTTGTTGCTAGTTACAACATTTCCTTTACTAGCTATTCAGTTTTTAACGTTATCTCTTTTTTTTGACATCCAGCGCGTATTGAAAGGTCGATGAAACTATTCTCTCTTCACATTGCCTCATGCTGTGACCTTCAAAAGAGACATGAATTGCACATCCATACTAATAGCAAGGAAAGAACTATTATTAACATGCAAGTTCATTTTGTGTATGTATCATATATATTGCCACTTCTTTTTTATCAGCAATGGAATGACTTATACTCTCATTCAGTAAATTTTGTGGTTATCTTTGTTACCAGAGATCTCAGGTTTTAGCTCTTGTAGTGTGAATCTGGATTTAGTCTGGCCCTAATATGGGTATCGGACATCGAGGGTTGAAAAAGAAAACACTCTACTCCATTGCCACATTTTTCATTAGTTTTGCGCAACTTATGCCAAACTAATTTTTTACATGCCTCACACTATTATAACTAAACAAGAAGTTCTCTCTTCCATACATTTATTTCAATATCGTAAATTAAGCAAAACCATATAATAAACATGATCCTTAATTTATTCAAAATCCTATAAATAACCCTCCTTTTTCATTCTTCATTTCTCATTAACCACCAAAAAAAAATAAAAAAATGGAGGTGTCTTATAAGAAAATAACATCTCCATTATTTACTTTCTTGTTTATTTCATCTATCTTTATTCAATGTCTTCCTTATGTTTCTTCTTTAGGTGTTAACTATGGCACCCTTGGCAACAACCTACCTCCACCGTCCCAAGTTGCTCAATTCCTCAAAGACAAAACCATAATCGATAAAATCAAAATCTTCGATGTGAATCCAGACATCCTAAAGGCCTTTGCCAATACAAACATCTCAGTTACTGTCACCGTCCCCAATGGTGAAATCCCTAAATTGCTAGACATTGGTTATGCAAAAAGCTATGTTGAAGCAAACATCAAACCATTTTATCCACAAACAAAAATTGATGTGATTGCTGTTGGAAATGAAATCCTTCATTGGGAAACACCAGAAGTACAAAACAAATTAGTTGGTGCAATGAGAACACTTTATCAAGCACTAACACAATCTGGTATCAACACTATTAAAGTGTCAACACCACATTCTTTAGGAATTTTACTAAGTTCAAATCCACCAAGTCTAGCTAAATTTAGACCAGGTTGGGATGTAACTATCCTAGCACCAATGTTACAATTTTTACGCGAAACGAAAGGTCCTTTCATGGTTAACCCTTACCCATACTTTGGTTACAACCCTGAACAAGTTGATTTCCTATTGTTCAAACAAAACAAAGGCGTTTTCGACAAGTTTAGTAGAAGGACATACTCAAACATGTTTGATGTGTTGTTGGATGCTGTTTTTATGTCAATGAAAAGACTTGGTTATGATGATGTTGATATTGTTGCTGCTGAAACAGGATGGCCATCATTTGGTGAAAGTTTTGAACCACAATGTACTGTGGATAATGCAGCATCATATAATGGTGGATTGGTTAGAAAAATTGTTAGTGGAATAGGGTCACCATTGATGCCACATAGAAAAATTGAGACATATTTGTTTGGTTTGTTTAATGAAAATACTAAACCAGGTTCTAATGCTGAGAGGAATTTTGGATTGTTTAGACCTGATTTTACTCCAGTTTATAATATTGGAATCATGAAAGGACAACAATTGTTGCCAATCCCACAACCATCAAAGGTAATCTCTTTTTTGATACGATAGCAAGGTCATTCTGTCACTTACAATATCTCAGTGAATATGTTTTCTTGTTTTTCTACCTCATACCACATTAGAGGGATCACGTCATGTTTTAATGACTCGAACTCTAGACCTCTTGGTTGAAAGTGAGGATTCAACACCACTTGGTTAATCGTACAAATATTATTTTATTGAGATAATCACGGCTTGAACGATTCGACCATCTAATTTACAAAATATGTACAAAGGATTGTGTATATTTTATACAAAATATACATGTAATATGCATAAGTATACACAATATATACATTGATTTAGTATATATTGTGTATATTTCTGCATTGTTGGTGAACTAGTTGGCCGAACAATATATATTATGAATTTTTATTTTTATTTTGTTAGTGCATAAAACTTAAACTCGATTTGTTAACAAGTTTTGTAATTTTGATGTATACAGCCTCTTCCACAACCAGCATTGCCACAACCACAACCAAGAGGCCCAATTCCTGTGGCAAAGCCAGGCCCAATAGTCCCAGCCCAACCAGCCCCAAGACTTCCAGCCCAACCAGGCCCAAGAATTCCAGCGCAGCCAGGCCCAAAGCCTGTAGGCCCAATCGGGAAGAAATTTTGCATGCCCAAACCACAGGCTACAGATGCACAATTGCAGGCCAGTTTAGATTGGGCCTGCACTAATCAAGGTGTGGATTGTGGCCCAGTTCAAGCTGGAGGCCCATGTTTTAACCCAAATACTGTTAGGTCTCATGCAGCTTATGTTATGAATTCTTACTACCAAATCAAGGGCAAAAATGACTTTAACTGTGATTTTTCGGGTTCCGCTGCCATCGTCTTCGCTGATCCAAGTAAGTATTCACCATTTTTCGATTAGTGTAAAGAATTTTTTATACTATTAGATCACTTTAAGAACAACATATGTTTACTTAGAGTTTAACTTCATACATACAAACAATGTAGATCATCAGAACGATAAAATATTAAAGCACATGTTAATTTGCATAGTAACCTAAATATTAGGCAAACAACTGCAATAACAGGTTAAATCATATCGATACTGTAGAAGTTCTTGAAACTGTAAATTTATATAAGTTAATGATCACTGACTGACTGTATAAAGTGTTTAACTATCTGTCGTACCAAGTGACCTGTCTTATTTTCTAAATTACTAATTCACTTTTTATTAGCTATTTACCTACATTTATCATTGAGGTCATCTTAAATCATACAGATTCTTTTTGCACTACCACTTTATAAGAGTTAAACTAAAAAAATAACTAACTACATGTAACGGTTTAAAATATATAAGATTAATAATTAATCTGAAAAAATAAGGTGAGTAACTTACTATAACATATTACGATACAATGAAAGCATAAAGTTAATTATATTTATATATATGTTAAAATGAACATTTATTTTCTTATAATATTTGGATTTTTTAAAATTGAAAATCTAATGATGTCTTTTTTGTATTTGTTTGTGATTTTTGTAGGTTATGGTACATGCAAGTACCTTTCTTAAATTTTATGGACCAAAAAAAGGAAGATTTTGAAGCTACTCCAACATTTAAAGGATTAGTTTTGATATATTGAAATTTTGTTTTTAAAAATATATGTTTTTTGATGTTTCACAAACTAATCTAATTGTGTTGATGTGTAGTATCTATTTATTGCAAATAAAACAATAAAAAAAATGTTGCCTACTTCATTTGCCATGATTTAGTATTATCTATATATATATATTCTAGCTTCTTTCTTTTATAATTTGATAAATTAGTTTATTACATTCTACTAAAATTAAATAATACTATAATTACTATTTGAGGAATTAAATATTTTTGTTCTTTAAGGGTGATTTATTTAATACTGAAATAAGGAAGTACGATAAATATTAAGTTATCTAGCTCATAAAAGGCATGAAAATGCTATTGACAGATTAAATAATCTATATTATACTTAAGATTCAAATTCGAAACTGAATCACATGAAGCCTATAATAAAGAATGTTTATGTATTATTGACTTATTATAAGTGAATTACCTAACAATTAAAAAATTATTAAAATGAGAAAAAATAAGCAAGTTTAACTTCTTTTCTAATTCCTCCTACCTTGGATATTTGGAACTTAAAACTTATTAACTGAGCATTTCTCAATTTATTTATTTTAATTTTTTTAAAAAAAATTGGCTCCCATAAATCTCCATGTGTTTTTTGGTTTTCCACGAGACCTCGACTAATTCAAATTAGCGCATCGCATAGCCTATTTATGAAGGTGACGCTCCAAACAAGATATTTTTTATTCTATATTCAACACTCGAATTCAAATATTTTTATTCAGGGTGAAGGAATTCCAACCATCAACTCTGTACGTGTTTTATAAGCTTTATAAAAAAATAAAAATTTAAGTTTCTTAATAGTCTTAATTAAACGAAAGAAATAAATACCATTGGTATTATATGTTAATTAGAAATTTCTTTATTAGAAATTACAAAGCTTTAGAAAAGTAAAGTCAATTCTTTTTGAAAATACAAAAATTAGGGAAAAGTAGGGTGGATGAAGTTAAAAAATATTGAATAAATAAATAATAATATATTCGGTTTTATAAGTATAAATTTTAAGAAAAAGGTGTTTAAGAACATGCAATACACAAACCTCTACATTTTTTACTTTTTATTTTCAGAAACATATTATTTTCACTCCAAATAACTATAAGAGGTAAATGAATCAACCTATGAGAATATTCACATGTTTTTCGTATATTAATTAAATCCCAATATCATTTTAGCTAGTTATTAATTAAAAAATTTATTATAAAAATTTAACTGAAACTAATTTATAAGTGACATGATTATGAGAGTTATTTTTCTACTCCTACAATTAATCTAAAACCGTATTTTACGCAAAACCATGCATATATACATACAATTCATTATTTATTCACCTCTATAAATTATCCTCGTTTCGTTTTCTTTTTCGATTCCTTCTTTACTAGTAACCATCGGGAAAAAAAAAACGAATGGAGATGTTTACGAAAACATCTCCATTCTTTTCTTTCTTGATCATTTCATTCATTTCTTTTCAATATTTTTCTATTGTTTCTTCCATAGGTGTTAACTATGGCACCCTTGGAAACAACCTACCTTCACCGTCTCAGGTCGCTCAATTCATCAAAAACAAAATCATAATCGATAAAATCAAAATTTTCGATATGAATCTAGATATCATACGTGCTTTTGCCAATACAAACATCTCAGTTACTGTTACAGTTCCGAACGGTGAAATTCCCAAAATATTGGACATAGGTTATTCTGAAAGTTATGTGGAGGCAAATATTAAACCTTTTTATCCACAAACCAAAATTGATATTATTGCTATTGGAAATGAAGTTATTCTTTTAGAAAAACAAGAAATATACATGAAATTAGTTCAAGCTATGAAAACATTTTATCAAGCATTAATTCAATGTGGAATTAATACAATTAAAGTATCAACACCAAATGCTTTAGGAATTCTTTCAAAATCAAAAATTCCAAGTATGGTAAAATTTAGACATGGTTGGGATCATAGTATTTTAGTACCAATGTTACAATTTTTACGTGAAACAAATGGACCTTTTATGGTAAATCCATATCCATATTTTGATTACAACCCAAAACAAGTCGATTTTATTTTATTTAGACAGAATAAAGGCGTTTTCGATAGATTTACTAAGAAATTATACACAAATATGTTTGATATGATATTAGATGCTGTTTATATTTCAATGAAAAAAATTGGTTATGAAGATGTGGAAATTATGGTTTCTGAAACAGGATGGTCTTCTTTAGGAGAAAATTATGAAAAAAATGTAGTGTAGAAAATGCAATTTCTTATAATAGAGGATTAATTAGGAAATATTTTTCTAGTGAGGGGACACCATGAATGCCAAATAGGAAAATTGAGATATATATTTTTAGTTTGTTTAATGAAAATATTAAAAAAGGTAATGCTTCTGAAAGGAATTTTGGATTATTTAGGTGTGATTTTACTCAAGTTTATGATATTGGAATTATGAAAGGAGAGACATTGCCATTGCAAATGCCCATGCTACCTAAGGTAAGTTTCATATATTCTTGATATATACATATGCTTTTTCTTCACTTGGGTTGCATTCGATACGAAAAATTATACAGTAAAAATAACTAAGTTGCTTATTAGGGTGTGATAGTTGCTCAGTTGATTGAGTGTCCCCCGTCCCTTACTTGTGGTGAGGGACCGAATCTCATTCCCCCTCCCCCCGTCACTTACTTATTTTCTTGTGTTTAATATATAAATAAAATGAATTTATGAGAGGTAGGGTGGGTGGGTGGTTGGGATAGAGGATACAAGGTGGGGGGGAGGGGGGTGGAGGGTACGATGGGAATGACACAATCAGTGTAAAATATCACTTCTGAAACTTGTTTTTCCTTGTTCCTACTAGTGAAGTCATTTTCCTAGAGAAATATTTTTTAAAATTTTTGATGAACCGAACATGAGAAAATAGAAAAATATTTTCTCCATTCCGAAAACACCCTTATATACACTATAGTTACATATAATTTGGTCGCAATTCACATGAAAACTCTTATATATGTGTTAAAAAAAATTAAAAAACATAAGTATAGATAATTATCTTTAACCTAATAAATCAAATAAGAAATTCGAGCTCGTAAAGTTTAAATTATGACTCCGTCTTTGCTTACTAACAATTTTTTTAAAACTTTGATGTATACAGCCACAACCATCAGGCTCAAGACTCCCGGCCCATCCTCTTCCAAAGCCTGCAGATTTAATGGGCCGGAAATTCTGCAGGCCCAAAGAAGATGCTACAGATGCACAATTGCAGGCCAATTTAGATTGGGCCTGCACTAATCAAGGTGTGGATTGTGGCCCAGTTCAAGCTGGAGGCCCATGTTTTGGCCCAAATACTGTTAGATCTCATGCAGCCTTTGTTATGAATTCTTACTATCAAATCAAGGGCAAAAATGACTTTAATTGTGATTTTTTGGGCTCTGGTGTCATAGACTTTGCTGATCCAAGTAAGTATTTGAATCATTTTTTAGTTTAATTTTCGAACAGTAGCGTAGTCACATATAGTGAAGAGTTGTTCGGTTGAATACCTATCGTCAAAAAAATTATAATGTATATAGAAAATTATACAAAGTATATTGGTCACAAATTACTTCTTGTACATGTATGTTAATTCTTGAACACTCTTAGTAAAACTTCTGATTTCGCAACTGTTCTTGAGTGCAAAAGAATTTTATGCTATTAGAATCGAAGCTAATTCAGGATTTAAAATATACGGGTTTCTACAATGACTTCAAGCTAATACTATCATAATAATAGATTTTATAGTTATTTAGTAAATTTCATATAAAAATTATTGAGTTCACGTATATTCGTAGCCCTTCTTCTAGATCCGCCCTTACAGTTACATCACTTTTAAAGATAATCATAACTTCTATACACCGACAAAGTGAGATAAACTATAATGTACCTAATCTAAAAAATAAGACGAGTAGCTTATTACTACAACATATTACGATACACTGATAGTACAACGTCGATTCTTTATATTGTATTTATAAATTAGATTCTATATTTTTATTGAAGATTTAATGATGTTTGTCTTTTATTTGTTTGTAATTTTCCAGGTTATGGTACATGCAAGTATCTATCTTGAAGTTTTATAGCTAGCAAAGGAAGATTTTGTAGCTACTAATTAATATTTGAAGGATTAGTTTTGACACATTAATTAAGTAATTGACAAATAAAAAGTTTTGACACAATTAGTTTTTTTTTTATTAGTAGCTAACATAATTGTTCTGATATATGTATTATTGCTTGTGATATTCTCTTTTCCTTCTTGTTTTTTATGCTATATTTAAGCTGATGATCTATCGGAAACAATTTATCTACCTCATAAGATAAGGGTAAGACAACGTACACATTACTTCTCAGACCTGAGTTGTTAGATTTTAGTGAATATATTATTATGGTGTACTCTATAATCACAATTGTATAAGGACTTAAATAAACGCTTAAATATTTTTTTAACGTACAAAATCAATATTGGACTAGTAAAAAAGAATGCAGGAAAGGAAAGACGTATAATTATTAATTAGCTAAAGGATTAACCAATAATTAGTTTTGCTTTCCGTCTAAAATACGCAAATGGAACGTATAATCATTCAAATAGATGAAACTTTGATTGATGTGAATATTGATTTGATAATTAGATATAGTAATTAATTAATTAGATGCATAATTAAAGAAATAATAGAGACTTGATAAGACATTTTAATTGTTTTCTTGTTATATTAATTAGAGTCAAATTAATTTGTTGTACCCCATTTTGATCATGAGATTTGTTTATAACATCGTGTGCGTCTTTTCTTCTGAAGCTTGCTAGCCTAGAAGCTGACTTAGGGGATGATTTTTAAATTTTGAAATGACGACTTCACGTTAATAAGTGGGTTTAAATTTAATTATGTACACATTTTA